AGTCTTGTGAGCAAAAATTCTACTTTGTGAGCTACTGGCATTAAAGTGGTGAGCCAGCGATTTGGCTACTGCGTACATTAGTTTGCTCTGGAGCCCTCCTTCCTGAGCTGAGACAAAACGTGTGAGCCAGAGGCTAAAAAACTGTGAGCTAGCTCACACTCACTCAGTTTAGAGGGAACACTGGTTGCAGCAGAAGCAGGGTCGCTAATCCCAGGTTGGGAAGTTCCTGGAGATTTGGGAGTGGAGCCAGGGGAGGGTTTGGAGGGGGGAGGGGAGGGTTTGGAGGGGGGAAGGGAGCTCAGCTCAGCGTGGTCCAATGCCATTTGGTCCACCCCCCCCCCCCAAACCACCCTTTTCTCCCAATGGGAGGTCTACAGGCAACACCTGGAAAGTTGGCAAGCCTAAATGACTAAACGCCAAGGTGTGCAGAATGCTGTTACCTTCCCATAGAAGCGGTACCTATTTCTCTACTTGCAGTTTCTTGCTTTCGAACTGCTAGGTTGGCAGGAGCTGGAACTAGAGACGGGCGCTCACTCCGTCATGCAGCACTCCGGTCTCGAACTGCTGAACTACCGACCTTCCAGTCTGCAGTTCAGCATCTTAACCACTTGAGCCACCGCAGCTCCAACACAAATCTGTCCAGCCTCCTAAGCAGGTGTCTGTCATTGCATCTTGTGGCAATGAGTTCCATTGTCAACTCTGGGCTGGAAAATACCTAGGGATTTGGGGGTGGAGCCTGGGGAGGGCGGGGTTTGGGGAGGGGAGGGGCCTCAGTGGGGTATAGTGCCTATAGAGCCCACCTTCCAAAGCAGCCATTTTCTCCAGGGGGGACTGATCTCTGTTGCATTGGAGATCATCTCTAATGCTGGATGATCTCCAGGCCCCACCTGGAGGCTGGCAACCCTACACAGTCTGGGTGACTGAAGCCACTTAATAAGCTTCACGACCCCGATTTTTTAGATTTCCTGCAAGGGTACCATATAATTTTTCTTCAGGAAACCTGGAGCCAGGATCTAGAACAGCTCTTCATTAAGGGTTACAGGACCTTACAAGCCCCTGCAGTTAAATGCCATTCAAAAGGTTGGGGTTCTGGGGGTTTGGCAATCTTTATAACAGTAGATCTGGATGTTGAACTACAAGTTTTGGAAAACAGTTGTCCAAGTAATTTTCAAACCATATTGATCAAAGGTCTTAATTTTGGTAATCTTATATGTATTAATGTCTACTTACCTCCAAATATTTCTAAGTTTAAGCCTAACGGAAGTCTTTGGGATTCCCTGGGAGCCTCCATTGAAGTCCTAACTTCCCAGTTTCCCAATTCACATTTTATACTAGGCGGCGACTTCAATGCCAGAACTGGATCAGGTGCCTCAGACATAAGAGCTAGTATGAACTCCCTAATTGCTGCTCAAGCGTCTCTATTAGATCGCTCTTCTAAGGACAAGGTTATTAACAAATCTGGACTGAAGCCACTTGCTGTGACCCTTTCCTTTTGTTTTTTCTTTCTTTCAAAGATTGCTTTGCTGCCACAGACGAACCGAGCAACCTTACCAGGGGACAGACCACTTCTACACCCCCCCCCATCTTAACTGAATTGAGTTGGTCGCAGTGCAGTCATTAGCAGAAGAAATCCATTGAAGTCAATGGGCTTAGAATGGTGTAACTTGGCTCGGGATTGTACTGTTAGAGAGCAATCCCAGCAGGTCTACTCAGATTTGTGCCCAGGTCTGTTGAACAGGGCTTACTCTCAGGAAAACATTCTGGAGATTGCACTGTTAGCAGCTGTTAAGCTGACTATGGTGCTGGAGAAGACTCTTGCGAGTCCCTCGGACTGCAAGGAGATCAAATCAGTCAATCCTAAAAGAAAGCAACCCTGACTGTTCCCTGGAAGGCCAGACAATGAAGCTGAAGCTCAAAGACTTTGGCCACCCAATGAGAAGGGAGCACTCCCTGGAGAAGACCCTGGATGAAGGTCAAAGAAGACGGGGACGGCAAAGGATGAGATGGTCGGACAGTGTGATCGATGCAATGAACAAGTAATTAAGCAGACTGCGGAGGACGGCGGAAGACAGGAGGGCCTGGCGTGATGTGGTCCGTGGGGCCGCGAAGAGTCAGACTCGACTGTGCGACTGAACAACAACAACAACAACAAGCTGACTATACAGATGGATGAAGCCCAGTGACATCAGACTGGAAGAAGTCTGCATAGGATCGTTGTCCTTCGGTATGGGTAAGTCACGCGTCTCCGCTGCCATGTTGTCTAGCCTCTTGAGGATTCTGGACTTCCTGGGGATTTGGGGGTGGAGCCTGGGGAGGGCGGGGTTTGGAGAGGGGAGGGGCCTCAGCAGGATGCAAGGCCACACCGCCCTCCCTCCAAGGCTTCCTTCCTTGTGGCTGTGCCATCTCTCCTTACAGCCCCAAAGCCAAGAGTGGAACACAGCGGCTGTTTTGGTAATAAGAACTATGATTTAATAGATTCAGGTGGGCAGCCGTGTTGGGCTGAAACAGGAGAACGAAGTTTGAGTCCAGGGGCACCAACAAAGTTTAATTCTGAGTATCCACTTTCATATGCATGCACACTCGGGCAAAAGCTTTCGTGTACATGCACACTTTTTTTGGGGGGGGGCTAAGTATTTTGTGTGTATGTATGTGTGTATGAGCTGCGGTGGCTCAAGTGGTTAAGACGCTGAACTGCAGGCTGTGGAAGGTCAGTAGTTCAGCAGTTCGAGACCCAAGGGTGCCGCATGACGGAGTGAGCTCCCGTCTCTAGTTCCAGCTCCTGCCAACCTAGCAGTTCGAAAGCAAGAAATTGCAAGTAGATAAATAGGGACTGCTTCGGTGGGAAGGTAACAGCGTTCCGTGCGCCTTGGTGTTTAGTCATGCCGGCCACGTGACCACGGAAACGGCTTCGGACAGCGCTGGCTCTTCGGCTTGGAAACGGAGATGAGCACCGCAACCCTAGAGTCGGATTCGACTGGCTTTCGAGCAAGGGAAACCTTTACCTTTTTTAATGTGTGTGTGTGTGCTTGTGAGCCTGGAAGTCATGTCGACGTCTGGCAACACCTAGTTGGGGGGGGGGGGGCGGGAGGTTTCAGAGAGGCGCCTTGCTGCTGCCTGCCTCTGCGTCCCGGCCCTGGTATTCCTTGGAGGTCACCCTTCCAAGCCCTTGCCAGGGTCGGCCCTGCTCAGCTTCTGAGATCTGACGAGATCAGGCTGGCCTGGGCTATCCAGGTCAGGCCCATGCACACTCCTTCGGATATCATCTGGTATCCGATTAAGCGTACGTGCTCACGAAAGCTTATGCCCAGAATTAAACTTTGTTGGTCTTAAAGGTGCCCCTGGACTCAAACTTTGTTCTGTAGTTTAATAAAAACCCTCCTCAGGAGAGAAGCCAGCCTCCAGGGGAGAGCTGAGAACCCCCCGGAATTACAGCTTCCAGACTACAGAGATCAGTACCCCTGGAGCAAATGGCTGCTTTGGAGGGTGGACTCCGTGGCATCGTACGCCACTGAGGTCCCCGTCCTCCCCAGGCTCCACCCCCAGATCTCCAGGAGTTTCCAAACCCGGATCTGGCAATTCTGTCCCCCCCCATCTCCTGCCAGTGGCCGGGGGGGGGGACCTGGCAACCCTCCTACCCCGATAAATGCTGTCTAGTTACTCTTGTTAAAATTTTACCCTTGGAGGCAGGTTTGGTGTCGTGGTTAAGTGCGCGGACTCTAACCTGGGAGAACTGGGTTTGATTCCCCACTCCTCCACTTGCACCTGTCTGGATGACCTTGGGCAAGCCATAGTTCTGATAAGAGCTGTCCTTGAAAAAGAGCAGTTTCTGTCCTCTCTCAGCCCCGCCTACCTCATGTTCGAAGTGGAGGACTTGGCGCTGTCTCCTGTCTCAGATTTGAGAAGATGGCACCAAAGAGTTAAGACAGAGAGGTCAGGACACACAGAGCATCCTTTCCTTCCTGCTATCTGATCCTTTCCTTTGAAGTAAAGGTGAAGGTGAAGTTTTCCCTTGCTCGAAAGCCAGTCGAATCCGACTCTAGGGTTGCGGTGCTCATCTCCGTTTCCAAGCCAAAGAGCCAGCGCTGTCCGAAGATGTTACCGTGGTCATGTGGCCGGCATGACTAAACACCAATTAGGGGTAGTTTCCTCTGCTTCCACTCTCTCACTTTCTCCCACTCTCTCTTCTCTCCTCCATGCACGAAGAAGGTGCTTGATCTCCATCTTGCACCATGGAGGCTGGACATGCGTCCAGCATCCGACACCATATAGCTAGTTAGAATAGGTAATCTATATCTATCTCTTACCTGTACTCTCAACCTTTAATAAATGTTAACTTAGTTTTAGAACTGACTGCTGACTCCGTGTGGCTTTGTAAGTCTGTTGCCACACCAAGCCCCAAGCTCTGCTGCGTTTAGGCCTTTGTGCACTCTGCTATTTTTCCGGGGTTCCCTGGCAGTACCTAGTCCAGAGAATCCAACACCTCAAAGGTGTGGTGGGGAGGCGAAGGGAAAGGAGTTTGTAAAGCCGCTCTGAGACTCCTTTGGGTAGTGAAGGGCTGGGTATAAATCTAATCTCTTCTTCTTTCTTCTTCTTTCTTCTTCTTTCTTCTTCTTTCTTCTTCTTTCTTCTTCTTTCTTCTTCTTTCTTCTTCTTTCTTCTTCTTTCTTCTTCTTCGTCTTCTTCTTCTTCAAAATGGGAGAGATTGGTTAACTTTTCCCCTTGCCACTGTAGATCTGATTAGCTGGATCGAAGCCGGTCTCTTCTCCGATATAGTTCGAGCCGTCTTGGGTGGCCTGGTGGGCCTGGCCCAGGGAGAGCAGTGCGTCTCTGTGCTTGGCAGAACCGAAAGGCCGGGTTGGTGAGCAAGCCCTCCCCCCTCCCCTCAGCCTATCTGGGTCTGCCGTCTGCGCTTGGCCTGACTTCGCCCTGCCAGCCTCTTTCTCGAGACAGACAGAAATAGCTTGGCACCGTGTGGCTTTTGAGTCACTCATCGTCTCTGGATGCCTTCTGCTCCATAAGGAGAGGCCAGGCAGATTTCAGCCATACGCAAGGCAGCTGCCCCACGGTCCTGTGGGCCAAGCTACTGCCGCAGGGACCGGGACGAGGACAGCAGTACCGACGAGGGTGGGGAGGATGAGGAGAGGCAAGACGGGGACTGGTACATAGCGAGCCGTGCCGGATGGACCCACCGTAGTTGTCGCCATTTCAGGCATCCAGTCCTGTCATCGTAGCCGAGTGTGAACCATATGGGACTTCAGTGGGCCGTGGCAGGGCGGGGGCAGGAGGCGGCGGGCGCGGAAAGGGCCGTCGGGTCCCGCCGTGGGCTGAGTCGCTTTTGAGGAAAGCAGAAAGGGGTGGCGGAGCCTCGATGCCGGAATGGGCTCTTGCTTCTAGGCCCCTGAGATGGAAGACAACCGCGGGTTGCACTGGAAGAGGGCCATGGGGGTCGTCTTCTGTTGCACCTGCCTGCGCAAGCGTGGCCCCCCGGGCGAGGCGCACTCCTGTCCGGAGCAGAAGAGAAGCCGCAGCGCTGCTTTCCGCCACAAGGTAATCGTCGCTCTCCGGGGACTGGCCTGTGATTTCTCAAAGGGAGGAGGAAAGGGCCACCGTGCTGGTTGGAGGTCATGAGATCTGAAAGCACAGTCTCCTGGTACTCAGTGTAGGGGTGCTTTGGGCCGGGGGGGGGGGCTCGGGCGCCAGCGTGGTGCAGTGGTTGAGGGCGGCAGGCTCTAATCTGGGGCGTTGGGTTGCTCTTCCTCCGCATGAAACTTGCCGGGTGACCTTGGGCCAGTCACGGCTCTCTCCAAACTCTCTCAGGCCCACCTGCCTCACAGGCAGTGTTCCCTCTAAGCTGAGTTGGTGTGAGCTAGCTCACAGTTTTTTAGCCTCCGGCTCACCCATTGTTGTCTCGGCTCAGGAAGGAGGGCTCCGGAGCAAACTAATTGATGCAGTAGCCAAATCGCTCGCTCACAACTTTAATGCCAGGAGCTCACAAAGTAGAATTTTTGCTCACAAGACTCCACAGCTTAGAGGGAACATTGCTCACAGGGTGCCTGTTGTGGGGGAGAAGGGAAGGGAATTGTAAGTCGCTTAAGGTGGAGACGGAGCTGCGGTGGCTCAAGTGGTTAAGACGCTGAACTGCAGGCTGTGGAAGGTCGGTAGTTCAGCAGTTCGAGACCCAAGGGTGCCGCATGACGGAGTTTACTCCCGTCTCTAGTTCCAGCTCCTGCCAACCTAGCAGTTCGAAAGCAAGAAATTGCAAGTAGATAAATAGGTACCACTTCGGTGGGAAGGTGACAGCGTTCCGTGCGCCTCGGTGTTTAGTCATGCCGGCCACATGACCACGGAAGCGTCTTCGGACAGCGCTGGCTCTTCGGCTTTGAAACGGAGATGAGCACCGCAACCCTAGAGTCGGACTCGACTGGCTTTTGAGCAAGGGAGACCTTTACCTTTACCTTTAAGGTAGAGACTCCTAGAGAAAAGAGGGCAATAAAAACCTATCCTCTGCCGTTACGTGATTACTCACCATTGAGGCAAATCCTCTCTTCCGTATGTCTTTTCCCAGTGGAGAGCCATCCTGCTTCCCTAAGCTGTGGTCAGTTTTAAAACTGAGAGGCACCAGACTCAAGATGGCTTCCTTAACTCAGACTTACATCTGGATGGGCTAGGGTTACCAGGTCCCCCCTGGCCACTGGTGGGTGATGGGAGGGGTCGGGTTTGCCAGATCCAGGTTGGGAAACTCCTGGAGATCTGGGGAAGGAGCCTGGAGAAGACAGGAACCTCAGCGGGGCCCAATGCCACAGAGTCTACCTTCCAGAGCATCCATTTTCTCCAGGGAACTGATCTCTGTAGTCTGGGGATAAACTCTAATTCTGAGGGATCCCCAGGTCCCACCTGGAGGTTGGCATCCCTAGCCTGTTTGGTGTAGTGGTTGAGTGTGCGGACTCCAATCTGGGAGAACCGGGTTTGATTCCCCACTCCTCCACTTGCACCTGGCTGGATGGCCTTGGGCAAGCCATAGCTCTGATAAGAGCTGTCCTTGAAAAAGAGCAGTTTCTGTCAAGAGTTCTCTCAGCCCCACCTACCTCACAGGGTGTCTGTTGTGGGGGAGGGGAAGGGAAAGGAGTTTGTAAGCCGCTCTGAGACACCTCTGGGTAGTGAAGGGCGGGGTATAAATCCAATCTCCTCTTCTTCCTTTTCCTCTTCTTCCTCCTCTTCTTCCTCTTCTTCTTCCTCCTCTTCCTCCTCCTCTTCCTCTTCCTCCTCCTCCTCCTGGAAAAGCACTCTGCACTTGTTAAAAAGAACTCTGTTCCGAGCTAGGGTTTAGCACTCAGAGCAAACTGAGGTTTACAGGGGAGTCCAGAGAACTGCAGAGGTACTCGATTCTTCAGGGCATACAGATTATTCCTCGTTCTCTTACAGATTACCTCTTGGTAGGTGTAAGAGCACACAACTGAATTTTTACGTTGAGGTTTGGTAAGTACATGAACTTGCACGCCAGACTGTGTAGGTATGCCTTCGGGATGATGGGTGAACATGGGCGTGCAAGGGAGGAGCCATAATTCCACAGTGGAGCTCTTGTTTCTGCCTGCAGAAGGCCACAGGTTCGATCCCTGTCTTCTCCTGTTTATAAAGATCTAAGGGAGCAGAACTGGAGGGGGGGCTGCCAGCTTCCCCCCCCCGTCCACTGGTGGGGGGAGGGGGATAGGGTTGCCAGATCCAGGTTGGGAAACTCCTGGAGATTTGGAGGTGGAGCCTGGGGAGGACGGGGACCTCCGTGGGGTGCAATGCCCCAGTGTCATGTGTCAAGGGGAACTGATCTCTGTAGTCTGGAGAGGAGCTGAAATTCCAGAGAATGCCCAGGTCCCACCTGGAGGGTGGCATCCCCAGGCCTGGAAGAGACCTCTGACTCTTATCCTGGGGAACTCTCGGCAGTCCGAGTGGAACGTACTGGGCTAGAAAACCAGTGACTGGACTGGCTGTAAGGCCGCTCCCTGTGTTCATTGCACGCACATCTACGTATGCTTTTGTATACGAGCATGAGGATATGTATACGAGCATGAGGATAGCAGAGGATCAATGAATATATGCTTTGCATAAGCCTTCAGCAGAGATATTTTAGCGGGCACGTATGTCCATCAGCAATGCGAACGCACTTGTGTCGTGGGTAGGAATTCCAAGACAGCGCACGATTCGACTTGTGTACGCATTCGCCTGTCTGTGTATCCCTAAAGAAATGCTTTCCCTTTTTGAATCTGTGGCTGGGGAGTGGCTGTAATTTTATAAGCGAGTTCAAAATGGTTTGGGAAAGGTCTACTGCTAGACTCCCGAGAGAAACAGTACTGGTAGGAGAACGAAGCTTGAGTCCAGGGGCACCTTTAAGACCAACAAAGATTAATTCTAGGCAGGGGTCATTTCCTGCAGGAGCGCACAGGAGCGGAGCTCTGGTAGTAAGGAGCCCAGGGGGCGGACACATGCAACAAGCCCCACCCCCTGCTCCCAGCAGCCCTCAGTCAGGCCACGAGAAGCAAGAAGCAGCCAGGTAAGTTGCAGAGCCCCCACACACTTCCGGTGATGTCAGGGGGTGTGGCATATGCAAATAAGTTATGCTAATGAGCTCCTGCACCTCTTTTTCTACGAAATGACCCCTGATTCTAGGTATAAGCTTTCATGTGCGTGCACACAAGTCATAGATGCAACGAACATGAAATTGAGCCAACTTCAGAGGACAGCGGAAGACAGGAAGGCCTGGCGTGATCTGGTCCATGGGGTCGCAAAGAGTGGGACTCGATTCTGCGACTGAACAACAACAACAACACACATTTTTGTCTCAGCTCCGGAAGGATGGCTCCAGAGCAAACTAATTTATGCAGTAGCCAAATCGCTCGCTCACAACTTGAATGCCAGGAGCTCACAAAGTAGAATTTTTGCTCACAAGACTCCACCGCTTAGAGGGAGCACTGCCCTCAACTTCCTTGGTGATCTCCCATCTAACTGCCAACCGTGGCCGACCCCACTGAGCTTAGCTGGAAAGCCAGCGTGATGTAGTGGTTAGAATGTCGGGCTAGGATCTAGGCGACGCAGGTTCAATTCCCCACTTGGCCATGGGAGCTCACACGTTCTCAGCCTAACCTGCGTCACAGGGTTGCTCGGAGGATAAAGGGGAGGCGAGGAGAATGATGTAAGCCGCCTTGGGTCCCCATTGGAGAGAAAGGTGGGAGATACAGTCAATGTTCCCTCTAAGCTGTGGAGTTCTGTGAGCAAAAATTCTACTTTGTGAGCTACTGGCCTTAAAGTTGTGAGCGAGCCATTTTGCACCTGCATCAATCAGTTTGCTCTGGAGCCATCCCTTCCTGAGCAAAGACAAAAATGTGTGAGCCGGAGGCTAAAAAATGGTGAGCTAGCTCACACTAACTCAGCTTAGAGGGAACATTGGATACAGTAATTATTTAAATAAATATACACAGCTTCCAAGACCTGACAAGGTTGAGCTAACATGGGCGGGGCGGGAGCTCTGGCCAGCCTTAATTTCCAGAACTGTTTTGTAATATACATCAGTACAGTTTGTAATATACATCAGTGCATTTCCGGTTCCGTGCCGAAATTGTATGGCATGATTTCTCTTAGGTTTCTGGGGTTTACTCAACATAAGTTGCTGAGAGCCAGTTTGGTGTAGTGGTTAAGTGTGCGGACTCTAATCTGGGAGAACCGGATTTGGTTCCCCACTCCTCCGCTTGCAGCTGCTGGATGACCTTGGGCAAACCGTAGTTCTGATAAGAGCTTCCTTGAAAAAGAGCAGTTTCTGTCAGAGCTCTCTCAGCCCCACCTCCCTCACAGGGTGTCTGTTGTGGGGAGGGGAAGGGAAAGGAGAGTGTAAACCGCTCTGAGACTCTTTTGGGTAGTGAAGGGTGGGGTATAAATCCAATCTCCTCCTCCTCCTCCTCCTTCCAAGAGTTAGATTCAGAAACAGGGCAAGCATGCTTCATCAGCTGAATTTCTGGTTGTCAGACATCTGGTAATGTCTCAGACGAGCCCTGTCAGATCTCTGGAGTTGGGCTGTAATTCCAGGAGATCCCTAGGTCCCACCTGGCAGTTGGCATCCCTGGGTCAGGGCTTGCCCAAAACTTGAGCTGAGACCCTCGGGTTTGGGACACAGAAGCGGGTCACCTTTGCAAGAATAAAGCTCACACCTTGAGTGTCTGTCAAGCTTGCTCGTGTTGCAGCCGGCGTCCCCACTGGGGGATCTCTCAGGTGCCTTCCTTTCTCTTCTGTTGTGAGGCCAAAAGTTAGGAGAGCTGTACTGAAGGCAGAAATGCAGCAGATTAAAAGCTTCGTCTACGATTTCTGTCTGTCTTGGATAACATAGTCTCACCTGGGCAAAGGTGACAACTTGAGGTTAGATGGGCAACGAAGAGTTCCAGAAAACTTAAAAAATGACAGAAATGTACATTGCGATCCTAAACCGACTTCCGAAGGGGTGTAGCTCTGCTTAGGATTGTGCTATTACTTTCCCAGTACCCTTTCTGAAGTTTAGGAGAACCTATTAAGTTTGTATGTCGCCTCTTTGGGGTCCCACTGTGAGAAAGGCAGAGTAGAAGCAGATTAAATATCTGTATCTTAATGGAAGACATTCCTTGAAATGAAAATTAACCGAGACAGATGCATCCATCTGCTAAATCTGCTTCCTAAAGGATGAATTAAATAAACTTCTTTGTGATGCCTACATTATGTAGACAATCTCTTGTATGAAAATGGGTTTTAGAAACCCCACAACACAAATGATCCTTTCCCCCCCCTTCCTTCTGCCCTTGGTGTGGTGGTTAAGTGCGCAGACTCTGATCTGGGAGAATCGGGTTTGATTCCCCACTCCTCCACTTGCACCTGGCTGGCTGGCCTTGGGCAAGCCATAGTTCTGATAAGAGCTGTTCTTGAAAAAGAGCAGTTTCTGTCAAGAGCTCTCTCAGCCCCACCTACCTCACAGGGTGTCTGTTGTGGGGAGGGGAAGGGAAAGGAGTTTGTAAGCCGCTCTGAGACACCTTGGTGTAGTGAAGGGTGGGGTATAAATCCAATCTCCTCCTCCTGCTCCTCTTCTTCTTCATCTTCTTCTTCTTCTTCACAGACTCTAATCTGGGAGAACCGGGTTTGATTCCCCACTCCTCCACTTGCACCTGTTGGATGACCTTGGGCAAGCCATAGTTCTGGCAGAGCTGTTCTTGAAAAAGAGCCGTTTCTGTCAGAGCTCTCTCAGCCCCACCCACCTCACAGGGTGTCTGTTGTGGGGAGGGGAAGGGAAAGGAGTTTGTGGGGAGTGGAAGGGAAAGGAGTTTGTAAGCCGCTCTGAGACACCTTTGGGTAGTGAAGGGCGGGGTATAAATCCAATTTCTTCTTCTTCTTCTTCTTCTTCTTCTTCTTCTTCTTCTCCTTCTTCTTCTCCTTGTCCTCCTCCTCCTCCTCGCAGACTCTAATCTGGGAGAACCAGGTTTGATTCCGCACTCCTCCACTTGCACCTGCTGGATGACCTTGGGCAAACCAGAGTTCTGATAAGAGCTGTCTGTCAGGTTCAACAGCAAGTAAATCTCCACACACATTTCCAAGGAAGCGTTATGCTTTATTAGACTACAGGTCTGTTACCGTGTCCACAGGTTTATTGTCAGGAATGACAATAGGGTGGAAACATCCCTACATATAGCAGGATGAGGCAAATGGCTAAGCAAATGAAATCTGAGCACGCGCGGGGGAATTCTTCCGGTGGGAGGTTACATAATAAGCGGGAGAGTCTCAGTGCCCCATGAGAGCCGAAATATTCACACCAGCGTTGGAACGCAAGCCCTCCCTCCGTCACAAGGTCAGACAGATAACTCAGTCTGGCAGCACTGGTTCTCACGGTCTCCCTATCGCTGTTTACGGCAAGTGGGCAGAGCAGCGAGCAAGCTATGAAGCATGCGCCATAGCGCCAGGGTCAGAGAAGGAAGCAAGTAAAACATGGCAGCTAGCTGACACTGTCCTTGGAAAAGAGCAGTTTCTGTCAGAGTTCTCTCAGCCCCACCTGCCTCACAGGGTGTCTGTTGTGGGGAGGGGGAAGGGAAAGGAGTTTGTAAGCCCCTCTGAGACTCTTTTGGGTAGTGAACGGCAGGGTATAAATCCAATCTCCTCCTCCTCCTCTTCTTCATCTTCTTCGTCTTCTTGATTGTTTAATTGCATACAGTATTCCATCCATGCTCACTACTTTAAAAGGGGGTAAATAGTTAAACAGAAAAATAAAAGGAAAATGAAGAGCGAAAACCACGTGAAACGCAACCCTCAGGGAAATGTTGAATAGAAGGTTAATTTCTGAATAGTGGGGCACCCCCGTTGCATTTCGATTAAAATCTTCTCTGGGGCAGTAGGATCCAATCTCCCTTCCCTTCAAAAGAAAACCCTGAGGATGATTTTACTGATAACATTTGGATTTTTAAAAAAAATATACAAATCCTTGGGCTTTGGCTTTAAAATCCTTGAGCTTTGGCCGCTTCAGAGCAGAGAGGAGAAAAGCCCTTCCTCGGTCTCAAGGCCCCCGGTGACTGCTGAGGCAAAACTCCAGGTAGCGAATGCGGCCCGTCACTCCAGGGTGACAGTGCAGTTCAGCACCCCACTGAGGAGGCCCTTGCAGCTGTTCGGCCTTGTAACCGCCACCGGACTGACGGGTCGATTGGAGTCCTCCCAGACAGCTGCCTCTACCTTCCTCTGTCTCTACAGGCGAGGGCTCTCTGATTCTCAACCCTCCTTTAGGCACTGTCTACGCCACACACTTTTGTCCTGGCAGCCATAAAGTGGTTAAAGGTAAAGGTTTCCTTTGCTCGAGAGCCAGTCGAATCCAACTCCAGGGAGTGGTGCTCATCTCCGTTTCCAAGCCGAAGAGCCAGCGCTGTCCGGAGACTTGTCCGTGGTTATGTGGCCGGCATGACTGAATGCCAAGGCGCACGGAATGGTGTTACCTTCCCACCGAAGCGGTACCTATTTATCGACGTGCAATTTCTTGCTTTCAAACTGCTAGAGCCGGTTTGGTGTAGTGGTTAAGTGCACGGACTCTAATCTGGGAGAACCGGGTTTGATTCCCCACTCCTCCACATGCACCTGGCTGGATGACCTTGGGCAAGCCATAATTCTGGCACAGCTGTTCTTGAAAAAAGAGCAGTTTCTGTCAGAGTTCTCTCAGCCCCACCTACCTCACAGGGTGTCTGTTGTGGGTAGGGGAAGGGAAAGGAGTTTGTAAGCTGCTCTGAGACACCTTTGGGTAGTGAAGGGCGGGGTATAAATCCAATCTCTTCTTCTTCTAGGTTGGCAGGAGCTGGGACCAGATATGGGGAGCTCACTCCGGCACGTGGCACTAGGGTCTTGAACTGCCAAACTACAGACCTTGTGGTCTGCAGCTTCACTGTTTTAACCTCTGAGCCAAAACGGCTCAGTTAGCACAAGCCAATTGCGACTAAGTTTGCCGGCCTCTAGGTGGGTACAAAAAACCGCTGGCTAAAGATGCCAAATTCAGTAATTCAGAAATATAACTATATAAAGCCAAGGTGTTCTTGCAAGAAACAACAAATATACAGAAAGATAGACCCATGATCCTTTATGACTGAATGTACTGGCTTTTGTATGTGCTTCTACTGAGATTGAGTCCCAATATAGCCTATTGGTTTTGAAAAAGAATTATTCGAGACACGGCAGCTTGCTCCGGATGACGCGTCTCTATGGCCTATGGAATTCAAGAATGTCTGGATTATCCAGGAGCTATATGAGTCCACAAAAACTGGAAAAAAGGGGGGGGGGACTCAACCCAGGATATGACTACGACCCAAAAAGGGCTAAGCTAAACCATATATATAAAAGTACAAATATTTATTAAGTTGTACACATGTTAAAATTTTCCTGATTAAAAAATTACTTTGTCTAAAATCAGACTATAAAAGCTTATCCTCTATACATACATATGATGGGTAAATACTTTACAACTGAAGACCAAACGCGTTTCGGCCCCTAAGGGCCGTCCTCAGTGGTCACTATTTTCTATATAGTCTAGACACACATTCAAAGACCTGTTACAGAGTTTTAATACACATATAATTTAACCAGATGTTGTTTCCTGAAATTATTCAAAGAAAAATAGAGGGGGGGGGGGAGAAAAAGAAGCTTCATTATTCTGTCCAAATGTATAAAAGAAATTATTATTGAATAAAAAATGATTCTATCAAAGATAAAGTTACCTTCTATACTTATAATTGGACTCCTGGTATTAGTGATGGGCCATAGGTATAGCCATATCACCTCCACAACTTATTCCAAATTAAAAAGTAAAATGAAATTGTAAAAAAAATTTTTGTCAGTCAAATTGTATAATTAATCTCACCCAAATTGAAATGAAAATTATTCCATTGGCTAACAAACCTGGTAACAGCGATTTTGTAGGTCTGAATGTGTGTCACTCCATCAAGGTGAAAATTCTATTATTAGCACTGGCTTCAATATTAGTTGAAACCAGGGTGATGCAATCACCAATTAGCATTGCACAATGCCAGCCAGGAAAAGTGCCAGATGGGAGGGGGTACAAAGGAGAGGGAGATAAGGATAGATATTATAGATGGATGGAGGAATGGACTTAGTTCATATATGTTCAACAGAGTGGGGGGGGACAGTTGTTTTCTACTAGCAGACAGTGGTGTGTTTTTCTACCTTTGTCCCAATCAGGGCTATTTTTGGGCAGGAATACACAGTAATGGAGTTCCGGAGTTCCGACTGGCTCCTGAGTTGGCCACACCCAGCAGGAACTCATTAGCATAATAGGCCACACCAACAGCAGAAACTCATTAGAACTGGCTACTTTAGGGGTGTGTGGCCTAACATGCAAAGGAGTCCCTGCTACTAAAAAAAACTCTGGGTTTTGACAACAAGGCGAACAGAATAAGAAGCAAAAGGTGGGTGTGGCTGGATGACCACACTTCTGGTAACATGGGGGTGTGGCCTAATATGATCATGTGCTGTGCTGTCAGGGGTGTGGCCTAATATGCTAATGAGTATCTGCTGTTGGGTGTAGCCTATTATGCTAATGAGTTCCTGCTGGGCTTTTTCTACAAAAAAAGCCCTGGTCCCAATCACTTTCTGGTGTGTGTGTATGCTGAAGCAGAGAAGGGAGGGGGGAAGGGAGGAGGAAGATGATGGAAAATAAGGTTGCCAATCTCCAGGTGGTGTCTGGAGATCTCCCGGAATTACAGTTGATTTCCAGGCGACAGAGATCAGCTCCCCTGCAGAAAATGGCTGCTTCAGAGGGTGGCCTCTGCGGCATTATACCTTGCTGAAGCACCTCCCCTCCCCGAATTCCATGTTCCTCAGGCTCCACCCCCAAATCTCCAGGCATTTCCTAACCAAGACTTGGCAACCCTGGTAAAAAAAAGTCTGGCTAAGGACCGCAAAACTGGGAGTGTTTCATCCCCGCCCCCCCTCCTTTCGTTCCTGCAGGAGAACCTGGGCGCGGCCACATCGGGACTCCGGATTCAGGAGTGGATCTATGGGGGGTCACAATGCTTTGGAGCCCAGAATCCAGGTCAAGGTAGGGGGCGCTTCATCATCATCATTCCTTTTTTCCAGCCTCAAAGGTCACTGATCAACAGAAATAGCTCTCACCACGCCTCTCTGTCCTTAGGTGCGGCCCACAGCTCTGGACTTAAAACTCACAGCCACTAAATCTTCACATTGTAAAGAACCTATGAGGAAAGGTTAAGGTGCTTAGGGCTCTTTAGCCTGGAGAAACGACGACTGAGGGGTGATATGATCGAGGTTTATAAGATTATGCATGGGAAAGAGCAGGTTGAGAAAGTGGTATTTTTCTCCCTTTCTCACAATACAAGAACTCGTGGGCACTCCATGAAACTGCTGAGCGGTCGGGTTAGAACGGATAAAAGGAAGCACTTCTTCACCCAAAGAGTGATTAACACTTGGAATTCACTGCCACAGGAGGTGGTGGCGGCTACAAGCATGGATGGCTTCAAAAGGGAATTAGATAAGCATATGGAGCAGAGGTCCATCAGTGGCTATTAGCCACAAGGTATAGATAGGGGCTCTGGGGCAAGTGATGCTCTGTCTTCTTGGTGCTTGGGGGGGGGGTCAACAGTGGGAGGGCTTCTGGTGTCCTGGCCCCACTGGTGGACCTCCTGAGGGCACGTGGTATTTTTGGCCACTGTGTGACACAGAGTGTTGGATTGGATGGGCCTTTGGCCTGATCCAACATTGGCGTCTCTTATGTTCTTATGTTCTTATGTTAATCACATAGTTACATTGCTTGGACCACTGATTTAGAGCGTGGGCCCTTTCTGAGGGTGGACACGTCTACATTTTCGCTCCTTTTCAGAACCCGCTTGCAAAACAACTCCATACTGTCCCCCCCCAGTACAAATGCTTTGACGCAGATTGTTGCTCACCTTCTCTGCACACAGCTTTTATTTTCAAACTTGGTTGACAAGTCCTTCTGCATGAGAACAGTTCTCTGCGTCTCTCTCACTGCTACAGAGCATGTGGAGATGTTTGCCGTGGCCGTGGACTGTTCACGTGTCAGTTTTCCTTGCGCTAGCCCCCTATGGCCACTTTCCCCACTTCTGGTGACACCAGAGTACTCTTTTAGGTTAAAACAACAAACAATAACCAACATGCTATAGAATTATAAGGTTACAGGGATACGACAATTGCCGCTTTTTAAAGGCCCAATTGCAATCCTTCTTCTCGTACCACTGCCACCAGAGTACTTTTGGGGACTTCAAAAAAATCAGTGATTGACATGGTACAGCATGATAACAATACATCATTTACTGATTTTTAAAAGCCCCCCAAAAGCCTTCTTCTTCTGCCACCAGAGTACTTGTTGGGATTCTTTGATTCAGGGTCGATGGTTGTATTGCAAACACAAGAGCACACACTTAGTGAAAGAAAAAATATCTTTACTATAAAACAAAATAAAACATGGGTATGGTACTTTGATAAAAGAAATAAAATTAAAAGGTTACATACCGTACTTAGGTCCTGTCCATATGAGGCCTTTTGGGCCGGGAGTGCGACAGAACGGGGGCGGAGCAAACGGGCACGATCCCACGGCAACATCTGGGAATCGTTGCCTGCCCGTCCCTGTTCTGTCCCAAATGGCGATACCACGCTGTAAAAAAGAACCACCTACCTAGGTGGTTGTATCCCTTCCAGCGCCGCAAGCCGGGCCGTGGGATCGGGCGGCGCGTCTTTGCGCCGCCGCATTCCGGGCCCCGGCCGTACTGCGCATGCTCGAGCATGCGCAGTTCGGCAGCCTCCCCCTCCCATCGGACTTTCCTCCCCGGCATCTGATCGTGTCAGGGAGCGATGCGCCGTGGCTGAGGGGATCCGTGGGATTCCGCCGCGGCATCTCAAGTTCGGTGCGGCTCTGCTTAGCTGCGTTTCAGCCGTCCCGTGTGGCAGCAGCCTTAGTTACTCTCAGTAATAAATGCTAACAGCTACATCTTTCTATCTGTCTTGGCTTCTAGAAGAGAACTAACTCTTTGGTTCACACAAAGGGCCATAAACCTTGTGAATACATGGATGCTAGATCAAAGCATTTCCACAAACAAGTTGTTAGTTGACCAATACAAAGGTTACAGGTCGCTTCATTAGGGTAAACAACTCCCACAAACTTTCCCGCCCTTGAATACATTATGTAACGTAACATCCTGTTTCCTAACAAACAACATTTAACTCTGTAATGACTGCAGTGTAAGCCATTTACAATTCCAACAGTACTTTTTTTGGACTTTAATAAAAGCAGTAATTGACATGCTATAGCTATAAAGATGTGTCAATTACCCATCTTTTTTAAAAGCTCACCCCAAACCCTCTGGCGGCAAGGGGCAGGGTGGGGGAGGATTGGCAGCCATAGAAGACTAGGGGAAGAAAAATGGTGGTGCCGAACCTGAAAAAATCCGTGCCTTCACATTGACAGCGGTTCAAATGTGGTGGTGGGAAGCGCCATCAAGTCACAGCTGACTTATGGGGACCCCGCAGGGTCTTCAAGGCAAGAGACGTTCAGAGGTGGTTTGCCATTGCCTGCCTCTGCGTAGCGACCCTGGACTTCCTTGGTGGTCCCCCATCCAAATACTAACCAGGGCCAAATCATGCTTAGGTTCCGAGATCTGAGATTGGGCTACCCCGGGCCATCCAGGTTAGGATGGTTCGAATGCCCTTTGTCTGACATCTTTCAAAACAAGATTGTCCCAAAGGAGATTTGGGAAAGATCATAGCAAAGCAGAGGGAGAGCTCCAAGATGCATGAATGCAGAGTGGTACCATGAAGACACTAGAGGCAAAGACCAGTGCTCCCTCTAAGCTGTGTGCATGAGCGGCCGCTCATTAACACAGGAAGCCCCGCTCAGCAGCAATCACGGAGCCACACAGGGTCTTGCACTACCTACTGCCCGTTTGAAGATTCTGGCGAAAGGAATTCAGAAACAGGATTTAAAGATCACTGGGAACCTATAGAGAACTGCTTCAGTTGGTAAAGAGGACTGTTTCAGCAGATTAAAAAATCCCATCACAGGGCAACAAGTTTAAATAGAGTCATCTCAGACAACATCCATCTGTGTGCTTGGAAGACGTCTTGATGGATATAACCCTGGGGATTATTTATTAGTGTTACCAACAATTAGAGACTGTGTTATCTTTTTGTTTGGTTAGCAGTGGATGTACATGCTTCTTATTACGATATTGTGGATTATATGCAAGACAATTTGGTAGGTTGTTCTTATGAATATTTTTGCATAGCTGTAGCTGTTTTCATAGCAATTCTTTGATGTGTACATTTTAAGATTGCAGCAGTTATATTCTGCTCAGGATGTGAACTGCTCCACTCAGTAAAGGGGGGGGGGGAAGTAAAGGGAACCTTGGAAAAGGCCACTCCTGTTCAGGAACTGCGGTGAATCAAAACAGCCACAAGGAAGCAGTCTGCCACTGCGAGCAAATTGGCCATCTGAATTGCTTGCTGTGAGCACAAACAGCAATTTTACCTGTTTCTCTGAAGAGACTGGAAATATACTGTATTACACATAGACATGTGATGGGGGGCGGGGGGGGGGGAATGTTACATAGTTGGAAAACCTGACCATAGTGCTAGGCTTTTGCTTGGCATAGCTCAGGTACTTTCTTAGGAGCCAGTTTGCTGTAGTGGTTAAGTAAGGTAAAGGTAAAGGTTCCCTTGCTCGAAAGTCAGTCGAATCCAACTCTAGGGCTGTGGTGCTCATCTCCGTTTCAAAGCCGAAGAGCCAGCGCTGTCCGAAGACATTTCCGGGGTCATGTGGCCAGCTTGACTAAACACCAAGGCGCACGGAACGCTGTTACCTTCCCACCAAAGTGGTACCTATTTATCTACTTGCAATTTCGTGCTTTCGAACTGCTAGTTTGGCAGGACTAGAGATGGGAGCTCACTCCATCATGCGGCACCCGGGTCTTGAACTGTTGAACTACTGACCTTCCACAGCCTGCAGTTCAGTGTCTTAGTGGTGAAGTGCACGGACTCTAATCTGGGAGAACCAGGTTTGATTCCTCACTCCTCCACTTGCAACTGCTGGATGACCTTGGGCGAGCCATAGCTCTCTCAGAGCTGTTCTCTCAAGGACAGTTCTGGAAAGAGCTCTCAGCTCTGCCTACCTCACAGGGTGTCTGTTGTGGGGAGGGGAAGGGAAAGGAGTTTGTAAGCTGCTCTGAGACTCTGAGTGAAGGGCAGGGTATAAATCCAATCTCCTCCTCCTCCGTCTTCCTGACTAGCTACAGACACACACCTGCTTGCTGGGGGGGGGGAAACAGTCCAGAGGTTTTAGTTTGGGCAGAAAGAGCCAGTTTAAGTTCTGCAGCTGTTGCTGCTGCAGCAGCTGTGGAAGACTGGGAGGGTGATGCGTCAGCAGTTTGTGAGGCCCAGACATGAGATCTGGCAGGACGGTATGGATGACTGAATTGGCTGTGGGTGGCCTGGCCCGGCGGGGGCAATCTCCAATAAGGACCGAGGTGGCTGGGTGGGAGGTCCAGACAAAGAGCCAGGGTCATCGCCTTCTCATAGTCCACGGGTTGGGGCGGAAGAGGGCGAAGGGCCCTGCAGCTGAGGTCCACCACCCCACTTCCCTGTCCCTGCCCTTTGAAGGGGGCCCCGCCAGACTGGCCGTGTCTTTGTCTGCTAAGCGTGCCTTGGAAAAATTAGATCAGCAAATTGTCCGCATCTGCCTTCTGTGTCCCATGGAGCAGGGAAGCCCCGGTCAGAATTCGTTCACCCCTTTCTCTGTCGGTTTATGGCGAGGGCCCTGGCCTGGATCACCCAGCCCAGCTCGGTCTCGTCAGATCTCAGAAGCTAAGCAGAGTCAGCCATGGCTAGTATTTGGATGGGAGACCTCCAAGGAAGACCAGAGTTGTGGAGGCAGGCAATGGCAAATCGTCTCTATTAACCTCTGGCTTTGAAAACTCTGCGGGATCGCCGTAAGTCGGCCGAGACCTGATGGAACTTTCCGCCACCAGTCGATGCGGACACAGGAGGAGAGGCATTGTTTGGCCTGACCTG